GGGGGAGGGAGAGAGAGAGAGAGAGAGAGAGAGAGAGAGAGAGAGAGAGAGAGAGAGAGAGAGAGAGAAGTGACCTCTGTTCCCACACATTGATTGCACATTAAGCTTTATTTCCTGTCTCAGTGGCTCCTTCATTCACTATCCAAAACTGCACATTTCATACCTTGCGTTGTCTGTATTTTTCAGTGCATGGCACTGCATGCCCCATTGTAATGCTGTGCGTGTTGCGAATATCAACATACTGCTGAACCAAGTTTCTTCTCCCTAAACGAGATGAATTCATTACGAATTTTTGGAACAGGATTTGGAAAAAATGCATACTGATCCGGCAAGGGTGTCGGTGTCCAGTGTTGTTGACAGAAGAGTATGTTGTTTCTGCATGTCATTCTTCAGGCTGATGCTGCACTGCGAGCAGCCGAGGATGCCCGAACTCAGCTGCGAGTTGAGCAAGAGCGAAACCGGGCAAGTATTCAAGCAGAAGAAGAGCATAGGGCCCTGGTCAGCCAGGTGAGATTGCAGAGAATCCAACATGAAGCCTCAATCGCAGACAAGGCTCAGTGGAGCAGGAGGACGGCTCTTCCTCCAGTAATATGTAAAACAAATACCAGCCGCGGGTGCCTCTACGCACGCCGAGGCCACTTGCCCTCGCTGGTTTTGGATCGTTGGATAGCAGGATCAGGCGTTGGCAAATTGCAGATGACAGCGGGCGCCTCTATGTGTGCCGAGCCCGGTCGCTCTCCATGTTGGAATTCATCCAATTTTCATTCTTTTGTGGACATGTGGAAGTGCAAGTGGTGGATGTCTTGAGCATAGTAATCCTTTGATTTTGTGCCATTGTACCATAGCGCCATCGGAATGTGAGATGCTGGAGAAGCATTTGTCAGTGTGTCTGTAGCATCAAAAGAATTGCACCATTCCCAAAACAGACAATCAAAGAAAAAAACAAAATGCGCCGTGTCTTTTCCCAAAAAGAAAAAAAAAGACGAAACGTGCCATGGGCGAGGTTGTGGTGTCAGAAGAATCACACTGGATATCGCCGAATCGTCAAGTAAATTTCCAGATTTTCTTCCCCTGCTTCAGTCCCCAAACATGGTAAAGCTTTTTGGACACGGGGTGTCCACCTGGACCCTGCTGCAAAAATGTGGCCATGCGATTTGCATCTGGCGGCTATGCTTTGCCTACAACTTTCCCCACCCCAAATGGCCACCACGTCGTGATTCTCCTGCGATCTCGCGCTACCTTCTGATGGGGGATTGTGAGGCGCTTGACGTAAAATTTTCAGCAACTTTCTACCACCCGGAATGGCTCCCACGTTGTGGCTTTTCTGTAATCGTGCGCCGCTGTCGGATGGAGGAGTGTGAGACGTTCGATGTGAAATTTTCAGTGCCAGTCATGGCGGGATGTGCTGGTGGAGGGTGTCAGCAGCTGTCAGTGTTTTTTTTCCGGGCGTTTCGAGCATGGTAACAGTCACACGCGAGAGAGAAATACAAGGAAAATGAGCAAGAGTGAATGACAGAAATCCAAAAAATATCGAACAGAAAGCAGAATGCACCAAGTTACGTACCGAATAGGAGCAAAGCAATGAGAACTCAATTGTCAATGTCAGCCCAATCTCGCCACCACCAACAATGTATCCAATGTTGCACTTTGCATGGCGCCTGGTGCCTAACTACAACCTCACAACAGCTATGCTAGCCTAAACCACGTGATGCAACCAGAAGCCCTTCAGCAGCAAGGACAGCTGCTTTTTAGTTGTGTTTGCTATTCTCGATGCCTTCTTGCCAATGTTCTCGACGGCAGATTACATTTGGGATCACCTCTTCCATTCCTTTTTCAGTTCCGTTTCTGAAATTGCCGCCTTTAGTTTCTACATAATTGTGACTTCTTGCATTCCGCTTTTTTGTTTATGGTTCAGGTTTTGTGGTTGTCAAATTAAGTTCTCTTACTTTCACTTACGTCTCCCATTCCGTGGTAGGATTCATGGTCACATGTTATGTACACCTCGGTTTTCTGTCCTGTGCTCATTCTATATTCCCATTGTAGTTGATATAATGTGCTGTCGGCTCACATACAATCAATGGTGTAACACCCCATGAACTTCTGTCCTTTCTGTATTCTCTTCTCCCATACCTCAGCCCAAGTACTCCACACTTTTTCCGTTAGTTGCATCATCAGCAATTGTCCCTTTCTTACGCAGGCGGAGCAGCGCTGGTCCTTCTTGTCATGTTCTTTATTATTCTTCCCTTCCTTGCCTGATATGTTGGAATCTAGGTTGTCAAGTAAATTCCTTTAACCATCCAAAATTTTCGTCAGACATCAACCTCAACTTTGCCTTTTCGTCTTCTGTTTTTTTTTTTTTAATCTGTTACCCACACTACTACTCCGTCTCCCAGCCATTGCGTCATCTGCCGATGCAGGCGGAGCCACACTGGCCCTTCTTTTATGTGATTAAGATGAAGGGAATATACTTGAAGTCCAAGTCATGGAAAGGGCTTAGCACAGTGTTCTATGGTGAGGATGGCGAGGATTGTGGCCTTAAAGCTGGAGAAAATCCAACCAGAAGTGTCAATCATGAAAAAGGCTTACCGGTGTGTGCAATCAACGACAAGTTTCCTCCTCAGTCCCTACTACTCTCTAAGGAAAAAAACGGACCTCACATGACGAACAACAAGTTTCCCTACTACTCTCTAAGGGAAAAACCGGACCTCTCATGACGCTTCCCCCGCAAGATACGGGGGAAAAGGGAGAGGAATTCTCATCAAGTCAGTGAGGAGGAGGGAGAGATGGAGGGAGAGGGAGAAGGAATGAGAGGAGGAGGGAGAGGTTGAAGGAGAGAGAAAGAGGGAGGCTGGGTGACTCATGAACACTTGCATTGCGGCATACGTGAGAGAGAGAGAGAGAGAGAGAGAGAGAGAGAGAGGGAGAGGCTTCCTCCTCTCTCCTCCTGCTCATGGTGCATTTCTTCCAGCGTTCCCCACCATGGTGTGCCTCTGCTTGCAGGTAATTGAGGCCAGGAATAAGAATTATGGCCTTACTGTTATTGTTTTGGTTTTCAGAGTTTCACTCTGCTTCACCATTGATGCGCAGGCCCGTATGAGCTGGATGTGTCGAGTGCAGTTGGCTGACATAAACTGTCCTGATGCAATTGAATGACTCATGTCAGTGGCATTAGTTTTTTTTGAATGGCTGTCTATGGCTGCTAGTGGGCCATGGTCCCTTGTGTACTGCTGCAAATCACAGGGATCTGAGGCATTGGTGGTTAAGTTGCTATAGCTATGGGCTACCCCCATCATGGCTAACTGTTGGAGGCATTCTTTCTTTATTTTTCTGCCACGATGACATAATTTTATCTCCTGTACGCTGATTCCTAAATCAGTGTTGCTTGGCGAGAAAGTGGGCCTGGGGGTATCCACTTCGGCCTCTCAACCATAATGGGGAGGAACGTGTGTAACCATTGTAATCTCTTTTGACTTGCCGGTGGAATAGGAACCGGACTGATGCTCCCCAGAGTGGAAAGGAGCCAGAACCGTAACGTTCTGTTTTTTGGGGGGGAAATGTTTCGAAATGCCCCTCCTACTTCCATTTATTTGCGGCATGCCCCTCCAACAGCCGACTTACCCTGTCGTGCCTCTGGGACCTCTGAAGTTTCCTGCATGCCCCTGTCAGTGAGGGGTGCAACTTTCCAGCATGCCGCTGTGACCGTTGGTGGCACTCGAGGCCGTTCCCCTGGCCCTGGGAGGGGAGCTACCAGGGCATACTGAAAATCTGGAACCGGTACCGGCAGGGGCATATTGAACATATTTCAGGCCCAATGGACTCCAGGGAGTTTTCCAAAACTTCAATCGTTTGAGAGAGGCGTGACAGGGTAAGTCGGCTGTCGGAGGGGCATTTCATAAATTTAAAATTTAAAATTTTTAATTTTCCCTTTTCTTTTCTTTTTTTAAGGTAGGTCTGGGAGTCCTTTTATGGTTATTTCTTCATTTTAGCTCTATTTTCTTGCCAGACAACAACGCTGATTGAGGAATCAGTGTACAGGAGAGATATGTCTGTCATCGTGGCAGAACAGTAAAGAAAGAATGCCCCAACAGTTAGCCATGATGGGGGCAAGCCAATAGCTATGGCAACTAAACCACCACTGCGTCAAATGGCCCCCACGCTTTGCAGCAATACCTTTTAGGTTTTTTTTCCTTTGTTGAAAGCAGGGAGGCAAGGCCAATAAACGCTCTGACAAGTATTCATGGTGTTTGGGTTTTTCCAGGTTCAGCAATTGAATCTTCTGAGGGAGAGCAATGCCACTTTGCGGGAAGAGAACGAGCGCAATTTCCGAGAAGCAAAGGTAATATTTCTAACCCATCATTAAAAGTTTTCCATCCGCGGGCGTCTTTTCGTGGCACACCTCATTTTGACATGTATCCAGTTTTTGTCGGCTTCATCCTCAGAGATGTACGATAAGTGCAACGTACATCGACATCCCTCCGCCATTCATGGTGCAACGGCCCTGGTTTTTCTGTAAGGGGGACTTCCTTTGTGGTGGGTGGGCCTCGCCACACCACCCGAATCTCGAAAGAATTCGGGATTGCTCTTGAACGCCTAAATTGGAGAGAACCGGCTCAAGAGAGTCCTTCGCCGCTTTCAAGAGTGTGGCAAAGAGTGCATAGTTGGAGAGTTTGCTGGGACTTGAAACTGGCGGAATGGCGGTAGGAGGCCATAGGGGGTAAGGGCAATGGAGTGGCTGTCGCACGGTGAGATTTCAGGCCTCGCCCCACCAAGCAGATCTTTCCATGCTGTAGCAGAAGATTGATTCATATTTAGTGTGTTCGGTGAGTGGTGCGGCGAGGGCCACCACCAAACATGCTAAATATGAATGAATCTACATGGAACGATAACGCCATAACTTTCTCTTTCTATCGGTTGCCGTCAACTGTCACAGAGGGTGCTGCACTCACTCTGCAGTTGTGCACAGTGTAGGGATGTGAAGATTGGAGTGCGGAAGTTGCCATTGTCAGTTGTCGCCTCTCCCGTACTCTTGCCATGTTTTTGCTGTTGGTGAAGTCGTCCACCATATCTCCCCTCCGAGTCATGGTTCCTGCACTCCGTGGAACTGCACCTGCTGGAGTGAACCACGGTCATTGAGCTGGGGGTGACGGCCATCCGCTGAGACCATGGACCGCACCGTGGTCGTCCTCCCTCTTCACCTCCTCATCCTCCTCCTCTGCGTCCTCCTCCTCCTCCATATCCTCCTCCTCCTCCATGTCCTCCTTCCCCGGCATCTGATCCTGCTTTTCCTCTCCACGTCACCTTCCTACAGTAACCGCCTATCGGCGAATGTGAGGCGGCAATGAGATTTGGGGTCGAATAAAAAAAGGGAAAAAACTTCCTCCAGGTCATCCCAATGAGATTGTGAAGGTCCCAATCAGAAGCGAGGGGAGGCGAGGGCAAAGGGAGGGCAGAGGGGAGGGAGAGAACGTTGGGAACTGTTAACAGTGGCGCTGCCCCTCCTCCTCCTCCTCCTCCTCCTCCACCTCATCCCCCCCAAGGGGCAACCATTTGCTGTTCACGAAATCGAGCAGAAGGCCGTACAGGGGTGGATGCTGGATGCATGGCTGGTTCTCCCTGCCGCCGACTCCGTGGAGTACGATCCTTGAACATGTGGTGAGCAAAGGAGCTATCAATGCACAAATCCAGTTTGACAAGCAGCAATCTCCAGGACCACAGGCCCCTGCGCTCACCATGACAACAATGTCCTTCACGTATTCACTGAGTAGGGAGTGCTCGCCACGAGGACGATCTGCAGAGGTTGTCGCCACACTACTCGCAAAGAAAGAAAAAAAAAGGTGTGTGCATCTGTCCAGGGAGCCTACCTGACTGTGAGACCTACAAGTCAATGGAGGCTACACTGTAGCAATTGCAGGTCATATAGCTTTTCTTTCTAAGAGTCTCAATCTTAAACCGCCAGCACACGGCCCCAGCCTTGCTGAAAAAGAAACTTGTAGCCTACCGAAAATTCGGAGGCTTGGCCTACCGGATCACAATGGCTGGCAGCGCCAACCGAAAAAAAAAGTATGTGCGCCGCTGGCGATTCCGATAATCTAGGCACGCAGCAAGGGGCCTGCAGGCCCGGGTGTACTGGTGGTTTAAAGCATCCAAAAATTTTGCATATCGTTATCAAAGAAATTAGAGAACACTCACCAAAAAAAGAAAAAAAAAAAAAAGAGTACGAAACCCAACCAAAAAAACTTGCAAAAAAAAGTTATGGACGCTCGCAATGTACATCTGTTACCGGCTGCAGGCGTTTAAACTTTAAAGTGGGATGCCTTTTTTTTTTTTTTTTATGTTCGACTCCATATGTACGTCTGAGGTGATGGTCAGCCAAAAGTTGTTTGCATTGCAATTCTATACAACATAGTATTTTACTATTTTTAGTATTTTTTTTCTCAGTTTCACTGGAACTGCCAAGGACCTGACCTGGAAGTCCTGCTCGGCTGGGTGGCAGGATATGTACAGGCACAAATACATCCCTGCGTGCATGAAAAACAGCCTGGAAATATATTATATTATGATTTTTTTATTGTAAACAGGGTTGCCAGGCCGAACGTACGGAGGCCCTAAGCTGACCCGCGAACGTTCGGGCGTTCGGGTCCCCATACGGGGCCCGAACTTGAAGGGGTTCGGACCCAGCAAAAAATTATTTTGGCACCCAAATATTATTATTTTTTTCTGAGTTTGTTTTTGTGAGTTCTTTGTGACGTAAGGTATCTCCCGCTTAATTTTGAAGTCATTCTGTTCAGCCAAAAAAAAGTGAAAAATCCTCAAAGGTGGTGGTGTCAAAACTTGCTTGCCCACTCACAAATTTGTTTTTTCTCTCTTTTCACTTTTTGTTTTTCCTTTATTTCGGGGCATAAAACAATTTATTATTTTTTCAAACTTTATTCGTAGATTCTCTATTATGTAAGATACACATATATAAATTTTCATGGCATTTGTCATAGCCAAAAAAAAATGAAAAATCGCCAAAGATGGCGGTGTCAAAAACCTGCTCGCTCACTCAATAATTTAATTCTCGTTTTATTTTTTCTAATTTTCATTATTATTATTTATTTTTAGTATTTGATTTTTATTTCAAATTTGGTAAAGAATTTGGATATAACGTTGAGGCAAATGTTGTTTAGTTTATTCTTCTGTATAACATATATTTTTTTCAGATTTTTTGGAATTCGTTTTTTTTTTTTTTTTTTTTTTTTTGGGGTCCGCGTTCGGCCTGTCGGCCGAAGGCGTCGAGAGGGGGTGCCGAACGTTCGGGCGTTCGGCCCGTCCCGAACGCCGGCAACCTTGATTGTAAATAAATTTTACATACTGCCTGCATGTAATAATATACAAGCAAGCAAAAAACAAAAAAAAAAAAAAAAAAGAGTTCAAAAACACGTTCTATTTATGTATTGAAATTTGAAGTTTGAACTAATGATATAAATTCAATTTTACTCTGTAATACATGGTCATCTCTACTTGGCAAGAGTTATCAGAAGTGGCACTCATGGTCGCCTATGTGGTTGTTGTGTCTGTTAGGAATGGCGTGACAAAGCTCAGAAAGCTCTTGCAGAGACGGATCCGTTGAGAGGATTGCTGAAGGAAAAGGATGCCGAGCTTGAGGCAGCCCGGAAAGAGACCTTGAAAATCAAGGAGGAGGTGACACTTTGGCAGAACCGTGTCAAGCAGGTTTGTTTCGCCATGCGTTGCCGATTAGGTAACTGAATGGGCTCTGGTGGCTTGGAAAAACAATCTTGCTACCAAGTCACTCGTTATTTTTCTCTCCGAACAAAACGTGTCTGATGACCACGGCCCCATTCTATTCTATGGCCACTTCCATCTGCAAGTCAGAAATTCTGACATGGTCTTGGGGCCACAGCTACATTCTAGTTTGGGGAGCATAAACTTGGACAGTGACATTGTGCTCTGGCAGGGTGGTGTGGAGAGGAGTGTGTAACCAGTAGACGACTGACAATGTGCGGTAGTGCTTCTGGAGAATGAGAGAGAGCCTGGAGGTAGAAGTGGGAGGGACGGGAACATTGTATTCATTGATTACAATTGGGACTATTCTCTTCTTTCCTCCTGTTATGATCCTGGCCAATTTCGAGATACACATCCATCAGATAGTACAATGCCGTCCAATTTCAGAAAGAAATGAATGAACTTGAGAGGAGAGAGAGGATTAGAAGAAGAAGAAGAAGAAAGAAAGAAGAAGAAGATGGTGTGCGCCATCATAGACAAATGACAAGGCTCTTCTTCTTCGTCCAACAACCTCCTCCTCCTTATCTCCCCTTTCTCTTATTCATACAAGAAATAATAATACAATGTTGAAATGGCTGATCCAGAATCGATGTCCGAGTCCCTCTTCTACTGCAGGTATCACTTGAGGTCCACCATAGTCATGGCCGCCTTCCCCACTCTTCACTCTCATAGGCCGAGGCTATGGCGGACTACTAGGCCTTGCCCAGATGCCCAAAGGACAACCCAAAGCAGCTATGGCTGCTCTAGCTCAGGCCGCCATGCCC